ATTAGCAATCCAGTTTATTATCTGCATACTCTGCAACTCACTCTTCGCAAGGCCATATACCCATCTCCGTGTCCTTCTTGCACCATTTTGCCTTTTCCTCTTGCGTATCTCCGATTTCCATCCATAACGATGGCAACATGTTGTGGAATTGGTCCTGCAGCCAACACGTGAAGCAGAATACGTTGAGCCAGTCGCGTTATTCGTAATTTATCCAGGATCCATTGAAGTAGATGTAGACATGTAGAAAGAACGAGAAGTAACGAAGGTGGATTTGTCATGGATGGAGGGGAAAATTACTTGACGCGCCACGTCTTAGATCATAAACACGTCTCACGGGCTATGTAGCATCAAGCATCAACTTTGTATCATTGCAGCAAGCATTTCTCATTATATATCAATACATAAAATGCGCAACGATAAGCAGAAGCAAGTGCAAATGGCTTTATATCACAAAATGACTACGACGCATGTGTGAGCCAACGAGTCAAAGACGGAATGGATCCAGGAATCCTCGGATCCAAACTCTCGCAACGAAAAAAGAATAAAAGAAAACGAAACCTCCTACCGCAGCCGTCGATTCGAATCATTGCAAAAGCAGCCTATGAAACATAAAAAATCTTCAGTTGACAAGCTAAAAATGCGAAAAACCGAACAAAATCTCAAAAGTTCAGCACTGACCGAAGAAATAAAAGATTTAATGCATGAGTCTGTTGATAAGTGGTTGAGACTGGGACTGAGTCGGCTGGAGCCGGGTCGATAAACTGGGTTGCGTATGTGGGTTATGATTCCCTCCTCGTCCACGACCTAGCCCACGCGCAGAGCCTCTACCACGGGTGGGTTGAGGTTGAGCCTGATCCGAAATACGAGAGAGCAAAGCGCTTTGATCGTCGACCTGTCGAGTCTTTTGACGCTTGGGCAAAGGAGGATAGGAGGAAGATGGTTGTGCGTATGGTTGATCCGCATGGGACCAACCATTGTCGTCAGACTGACGATATGGCGGAGGATTACGTTCTGCATTAGCGTACTCGGTGAGACGGTCGCCAAAGGAGAGGGATAGAGGTGGTGGAAGGAAAGACAACTGGGGATGCGCTTCAGCGTAAGCTGGAGCAGGAACACCATTCCCAGACAGAGCGAGATAGTTACGGCTTGCGGAAGGGATCGCAGACGTATCACCGTCTAGTCGAGAACGCCTTAATTCAGCGGAGCCGCGACGATCTGCGCGACGACCTCGACCTCTTCCGCCTCTTCCGCCTCTTCCGGCCGCTCCTCGGGTGATCGCAGGTGGACTCACACTTGAACGGAAGCCAGGCGAACGCGAACGCGATCGCGAGATCATAGGCCGGGAAGGCCTGTAATTACCAGGAGAAGTAGATCGCGGAGAAGCGAGACGAGCCAAACCTCTGCCTCTACCTCTTCCCCGGGTGATCGCAGGGGGACTTCGACTCGAATATACAGGCGAGCGCGAACGCGATCGCGAGATCCTAAACCGAGAAGGCCCATGGGGAGAAACAGATCGCGGAGAGTATGACCGTTCGCTATTTCCTCTGTTACTACCGTACCCTGGCGAATGGCGAGGTGGTGGGGAGTAATGATCATAATCATAAGGCCTTTTACCCAGGACATTCCCCCATCCCCCATCATCGGGCGCGATAGGAGAACGAGAACGAGAACGAGAAAAAGAACGAGAAGAGGGAATTCGAGGGCCGAGAGGAGCGAAAGGGGGAGCATTCGCAAGAACAGCGCTATTCGAAATCGTTGGATACCCAGCAGCTGCTCCAGCGATGGGAATGGCCCGTTGATCAATCATTCCAGGTAGAGCAGGTACGGGAACTGCGGGTTTCATCGGCAGTGCGTTCTTATTATGAATATTTCCACTAGCCAATGACGCTGTGCTTGTTCTAGGTGCACTGGGAGCCTGAGCCTGATTTTTCTGTGGGGGTGGCCGAGAAGACACATTGGACAAAGGAGCAGAAGGAACAGGAGTTCTGACAACAGATTTCGATACAGGAGCTGAAGACAGAACAGGAGCCGAAGACAAAACAGGAGCCGAAGACAAAACGGGAGCCGAAGGCAAAACAGGAGCCGAAGACAAAGAAGCCCTAGGAGCAATAGGAACTCCTGTCGTAGACCGGCTAGCTCCTCGAGAAGTCTGGGGTGCAGTAGAGGGGGCAAGTGGAGGGCGAATCGGTTGTATTTGTGCCTGCACCGGTGTATGCAAAGGCGGCTCATCTGCATCCTCAGTCTTGATCTTGGGTATATCAAGCTCAGGAACGCTCCTCGCATTCTGCGCCGATTTACTCCTGGCTTCCGCCCCAGTCACATGGCGAAGATTTGACGCAAGGGTGCCAGGAGAGGTAGGAGCCGGACCAGTGAGCTTGAGATTACCCCCCGGGACGCTATAAAGCACGGGAGAGCTAACAGAGCTCGAACTTGAGGTGGAATCATTGAGCTCTGCAGAAGAAATAGTATGGGAATTTATCAGCCCGAGCTGAGAAGCATCCTGAGGACGAGCTGGGAGGGAAGCGATTCGATTCAAATTCTCGGTTGATTGGACGTAACCGAGAGGCACATTGCCAGAAATCACTTTTACCTGTTGTTCACGCTGTGCGTATGCCTGTTGACGCTGTTCTTTCATCTGTCTCTTCGCCAGCGGCTTCTCCTGGGTTACAGTAGGAGGAGAAACCACGGTGCGATTCGCTACGATATTGGTGCTCGATGCGGGAACGGCCTTTGGGGCAGGCCTAGGTGCAAGTAGAGGAGTTGCCGTCGCTGGTACAGATCCTGAAATATTTCGAAGAGGAGCAGTAGGAGCAGGAGGAGTAGCACCGGCCGATACGGATTGCCTAGCCTTCTTCGCTAAGAGAGCTGCCCGTCTCCCTTCCTCGTCCAACTTAGCTTTGAGCTTCTCCTCTGCTTCCTTTCTCTGAACATCTTCCGTCGCTTTTTTGGCAACGGGAGCAGCAGCAGCGAGCTTTTCCTGCTCCCATTTTTCAATTTCTGCCCACCCTGGCTTTAAGTCCGGTTCGTGTCTTTTGGTTTCTACCTCGGTATGCTTACGCTTTTCCTCAGCCGCGTCCCTAGCCGAATCCACAAGCATTTGTCTCTGCCTTTCCTGTTCGGCAGCAGCAGCAGCAGCAGCTTCACGGGCCTGGAAGATCGAAGTGAGTTTCTCCACCAGGGAATCTAAGCTTTCCGTATCTGAAAGGGTGATATGCAGGTCGATAGGGCCGTGACGAGTAACATGGTTGGAATCGTTGGTAGAGTTAGGAGGAGGGTTAGATGAAGAAGAGGCCTGCATGCCACTGTAAGCAGCGGCTGAGGGGCCAGCCATGGAAACATCGTTGTCAAGGGAGGACGTAGAGAGAGAATGAAGGCGTGCAGCATCCTCGATCTCTTTCCTCTTCTTCATCTCGTTAGCTTTCTCTCGAGCCGTCCTTTCTTCTGCCTCTGTCGCTTCTCTTTCTCTCTGTTCTCTTTCCTGCTTTTCTCTTTGCGCTCTCTCTTCCTTTTCCCTTTGCACTCTCTCTTCCTTTTCCCTCTGCGCCTTCTGCTCTCGCTCGCACTCCCTAACACACTCCTCAATCCCCTTGACCCCCACCCTGAGCTCTCCCTCCAACACCTTCCACTTCTCCTCCCCCTGCTCAACAGCCCCCACTACCTCATTAACCAACGCCATAGCTCTCTCCACCGCTTCCTTCGAAACCCTCACCGCCTCTGTAGATTTAACCATTTCCGCCTCAGCAGCCCGCACCAACTCACACGATTTCTGCGAGGATTCGTGCGCACTCTGTGTGGATTGATGAGCATGCCGGATGTCAGCGTATACCGAAGCCAGTTTGGTGGAAATCGAGGTTGAGAGGGTTTGGGAAAGAGTGATTTGGGAGGATAGAGAGGAGCTGAGTCGAGCGTGGGTGGTTTTGAGTAAGTCGAGTGCGGTGGGAGACCGCGCAGGCTGAAGATGATGGTTGGAAGATAACGATGAGGATGACGACGATGGGTCAATGGGTGATTCGGTTTTGATGACCGAAGGAGAGAGCAGTTGATTAGGGGTCTGGGGAGTAGCATCGTCAAGAGGATACGTGAGGTTGATTGAATCGGCCGTGCAGGATTCAGCACGAGCTTGGATGACAGACGATGCAGAAGAGGCACGAGCTGGCAAGATCTGACCGTTAGCGCCATTCTTCATACTGGCGGGAGGCTGAGGAGTTGGGAGACTAAAGTCAAATTTTTGCGCAAAAATGTCGCCCCTGGAACTGATCATAGCAGAGTTACTAGCCTCCGCCACTGAGTTTGGAAAAGGGGCTAAAGGCGCCAAAGTCTGCATCAATGTGCGACGAGATGGGCCAGATGCCAAAGCGGTTTGAGAGACGAATGGTACTATTTCTGAGCCTTTTTCGACGTCGTTCGCAGCATCTAAAGGACTCTGCGGAGGTGAATCTTCACCATTATAGTGATGTGGTGGAGAAGTCATTCGAGACAAAAGTGCAGGAGGTTTTCCAATAGACTGAAACTGAAAACCACCCGATTCTTGCAGGTGCATGATTGTTCGACTAGCTGTAAAAATTGGAGTCTGGGGTTAAAAGACAGTGTCGAGTCAAAAAAAAACATACTTGTTGACTCCTAATTAGGAGTAAGTAGTCGGTGTTGTTGAAATAAGTATAGAAATCAGAGTGTAAATGAAAGCCTAAAGTTAATGGTGGTGGTGATAAAGGAGGAGCAAGCGCTTAATTGATCACTGATCAGGGTTAGGGTAGAAGGTCAAAGCGAGTTTCAGCACTGTGAGCGACTTGAAAACTTGCGATTGCGTACAACCTCGTATAACTCGCTGAAATCCCAAAATGACATAAATTTAACTTTGACAAAGGACAATAAATTGATAAAACCACTAAAATACTTCGGGAAGGAGACATATAATAAAAGCCAAAATGGCAATAAAAAGAGAGACCGAGATTGTCCGATATCAGATATGACGTCTTGAAAAAGAATTGTCAGGAGATAATCTCCCTGGCTGGGAGTCGAACCCAGCTTTCGCGCGTTTCTCGATGAACATCACGTGTTATGACAGGCGCGTGTACTAGCCGATATACTACCAGGGAGTTGATAAAAAGCGTCATCAAGTGTACATAGCAACATCAGAACGACAAAATACAGAAAAAATCTCAGTACACGACTACCAAACACTCTGAGGCATGCCTCCCATTCCAACATCGCCTCCACCAGCACCTGCACCGAATCCCATCCCTGCTCCTCCCATTCCACCCATTGCTCCCATCCCTCCCATGCCACCCATAACCCCCATGCCCATTCCGCTCATATCTCCCACTCCAACACCCATCCCACCCATATCACCCATACCCATACCCATCCCACCCACATCCATACCAGCTCCCAACCCCATACCGACGCCCAAATCCATGCCCGGTACACCACCAATAGCTCCGATAGAACCGACATCAACTTCAACTTCCGGTATCGGTATCGATCCAGAGCTCGTCGAAAACGCCGCCAGCTCTTCCTTTTCTTGTTCCTGTTTCCGTTGACGTTCAGCTCTTCGTTCTTCGGCGCGTGTTTTAAGAGTTTCGATCTCAGACGTTATTTTTGCCTAAAAGCGTATATTGAATAAACGAAAGAAAAATATCACGTCTGCAGCTATGCTTACCACTTTTTCATCGACTTCCTTTTGATCGAATACCGAATACGGTGAACTTTTTGTCGGAGTAGATCTTTTATCTATAAAATCATAATTAGTCAAAACAAAATAACAAAAACAAGACAAAGCAACACGTACTAAAAGCAGCATTCGCAAGCACCTCGTTCATAATATCATGATTCCTCTTGTATCTCATCGTCGCGAGCGTACGCGTCGATATCGAGTCAACTTCGTCTCCAGAATCGTCGTCTTCGCCTCTTGGACGTGGCCCTCCCATACCCGGAGGAGGACCTCTTGTCCCCTGTCCAGCAGCAGGCCCCAGATGCGCAGGTGGAGGAGGCAAGCCAGCACGTGCAGCCGCCTCCCTCCTCCTCGCTTCAAGCATATCCATATTCGAGTTCTGGTGCGCAAGCATCGCCTGAGCCTGATGCTGGTTAAACGGCATCCCAGGCTGCTGTTGCTGCTGCTGCATCCCCTGTGGCGACATCCCTTGCGGTGGCATCCCCTGCTGTTGCTGCATCCCCTGCGGAAACACCTTTTGCCCAATCTTTTCCCCAGTAACAAACATCGCAGCCTCATTCACCTGCCTCAGAGGATACATCCTCACCGGCTGCCCAGCCAGCGCAGGCGGTACAGGTGGCCTCGCGCCTTCCCTCGCAAACGAATAATGCACAACCCACAGCTGTGACAATCCACTATGGATCAACCTGTACCGCCGCCGCACGCGAATCATCAGCGTCTCGCTAGGCCCCGCAGTACTGCTCGGTACGAATCCAAATTTCACTTCGCCCACTTCGAGTTCTTTCGGTGTGTTTTGCCCAATGGTAAATCTCGTTTCGGGTTCTGTCCAGCGGATACCGTCGTTTGTGAATGGAGCGTGTGGGTTTGGGAGGAAGACAATAAAGGTTTGACCATCTTTGAACGAAACGTTTTTTCAGATGTACACCAAATACAGTAGATAGGTTGGATACTCACCCTGTGGGCGATCCAACCACGTCCATACAAACGGTACAGTCAGTGCCTGTTGCGCCGCCTTCATTAATAGATTTACAGCTCCTTCAAGCGTGATTTGTTGGTGCAACAGTACTTCCGGGTATCGCAGTACTAGCCCTTCAGATTGTAGTTGCTGGATCTCAGCAAGCGTCGAGGATGGCATTTTGGATTAAGAAGTAACGCGATTAAGCGCTTAACCTAACCCTAAGACCGGCGCTTAGATAGAACGGCGGCTCAACATCTGATTCTCAAACTGAACTTGGTCAATATTGAAATATTGACAATCCGCCATTATGATTTGAGCATGAAAAAATAAAAGTAAAAGACAACGAAACGTTGGATCAACGTCGGAGCGCAGTGATTCGACCCAGGCTCGAACTGGGGACCTTCTGTGTAAAACCGGAACCACACACTCATGTTAGACAGATGCGATAACCAACTACGCCATCGAACCACGCTTATGGGGTTATTCTTCTTTTATCTTCCTTGCCCCTTCACCTAACAATAACAGCAATTCAGGACTTCAGGATTCTCTGAAGATGTGACCCAGCACTGGCACCTCTCAAACTCGAGGCAATCTGCCCGCGCTGCTTTTCAACATCTCAAACTGACAATGACATTGTAACAACAATATTTATAGCCCGGGAGCCGTTACACCCAGGGTCGCTCTCCTACCACCATCATCCCTTGAGCGCCTAAACCTCATTAACGAGAAAAAGGGCTCGAAAATGGTGAAATGTGGACTCGGTATAGCACAGATAGACTCGTAAAGGCCAATATGTGACCTTAGGCAGTATTTTTTCGCAGGCTTAGACGATGTGGAAGTAGTAGTCGACGCCAATGGACTAGCCCCTTTCTTTTCACTGCGTGTCAACATTGCACATGCATCGTCGGCTGTAATCAATAGCTTCTACAACGATATGGGACTTCCGAAAAGTTTGGAAATATTGTATAAACATCTCCAGTAACCGTTAGCATCACACGGAAACGTTCCATATCATTCCTTTCTGAATATACCGAGACCGACTCAAATCATTCACTGCACCCAACCCATCTAATGATAAAGTTAGTGAAAAGTTTGTGTTGTCCTTGCAAAGGTTGCTAAGTGAAGAAATGGATGCTGGGCCATTGGATTAAGTGTCCCTGTGAAGACCATATGGTAGACTGGTGCACTGTATCTTGACGATTAATGATGCAAACAGCCGAATGTCGTTAGCCCCCACGGCCCTTATATTAGTAGAGCGCCTCAGTTCACTTCTATAGTGACATCTCTTTATCGTGTCTAACATCAGCGTTGTGCGTCCGGAGAAACCAGCCTCTCAACACAGCAGCGTTGAGGTTAGATGCCCGCGGCACATATCCCAGGCGCAATATGTGTAGCGTGGAACCCGGCTGTTTCTAAATGGGACCGTGCCGGTTAAACCTACCTACCTACCTACCTACCTCTGTCCAGTATTGAAGGATGATTTGAAAATGAAAAAAAAGTACAACATTCAAGGGGAAACGCCAAAGGCGCGAGTGATTCGACCCAGGCTCGAACTGGGGACCTTCTGTGAAGAAGATATACTTGGTCTTCTTATGTTAGACAGATGCGATGACCAACTTGAACTACGCCATCGAACCACATTTATGGGTTCTCCTCCTCTTGTCTTTCTTGCCTCAGCCCCCCAACATCCTGAACTTATACTGAAGATGCGTAAGTATATACTCAAACTTTCGAGACAATTTGTACGCGCTCCTTTTTGTCGGGAGTCCGCGAATAAGGTTCAGTCAAAACTAGGCTCCTGTCTGCCTATTTACACTCCCACGACCTCTTATCTAGCCCCTAGCCAGAGATAAAGACTCTGTCTTTGTTTCCAACCACGATGACTTGGGACACACTCCTCAGCCCTCGCCGGCGTGAATTCCACTTCCCTACGCTTACACTTTTTGGCCGTTCTCTCTTGCTGCTTACTTGTGAACTCCTGGCCAATGCCTTGTGCTGGACCGCCGCTGGTATAATGTTTGGTCGGACAAGCGAAACGAAATCGATCTTGGGACTTTCAATGCTTGCTTGGGTTCGTCATATGCGCACGTTCTTTCGGATAACCATGTCTTGACTGCTAAAGATTATCTTTATCCTTTAGACCCTGGGCTTGCGACATGGTGAATTCTTATCTACTCGAGTCTTATCGGCCATGAAGTATCTGACACTAGCAATCAAAAATCTTAAGCCCTGGACGCAGATCACATCAGGTGAGTGGACTTGGCCATGTATTTTCTCGATAAGTATACATAATATCGTCGTAGTGCAATAGATAACGCGACACGCGGTTTTATAGCAATGGGTCAGCTTCCCGTTACTTGTGGCCTTTACTTTTCATTAGGACACAGTACTATCGTTATCGTCGTGGTCTGTACACTTTTCGCTGCTGTCCATGTACTTGATTGGCATGCCTATCTTAATACAGAACATCGCAATAGCAATATCAAGCAATATCGCGAATAGGCTGACGGGTGTTGGTCAAGTGGGTAGTATAATCGGTACGTATTTGTGTATCCTCTAGAGGCTAGCCTGGAGAGAGACCATGGAAGCAGGTTCGGCCATTAGCGGTTCGTTTCTGTTCATCGTCGCGCTTATGAACTCCATCATCTTGTTCAAACTGATACGACGACGGAAAGTAAGTGGAGCATAGTATATTTTCTCACCACAGCGTGGTTCTCACGTTGCACACCCGACAGAAACGCGCCTCAGGTGATAATACGCCCTATAATCCCCGAGATAATCATATGTTGATGATGAGGATTATCGGCCCCATTGTAACGTTTGTCAATAAACCGTGGAAGGTCCGTACGTCCTTTGGTATTGGTCTTGTATTGGTACGCATCCATAATAAATGCTAATCAACTATATGGGTAGATGTATCCCGTGGGCGTCCTCTTTGGGCTGGGATTTGATACGACATCTTCGATAGCACTTCTCGCCGTTTCTGCGTTGGCCGTAAAGGACTCTAGTGGAAAAGCTATACCACCATCCGATGTTGTCATTCTTCCAGTACGTTTTGAGATTCCGAGCACTCAACCGCCAGCCCCGCCGATACTAATGTGACCCTCTGCAGTTTCTCTTTACCGCGGGAATGACACTAGTCGATTCCCTAGACTCGATTTTGATGTTGTATTCCTACTCTGGTTTTCCAGAGCATTCGATTCGATTATTCGAACAGCGAAACTCGGACAACCGTGATCCCCAGGTCAGCATCGGTGTTGAAGCTAATGCAGAATCCGATTTGCGGTTAGCTACAAGTACGAGAGTGAAACAAAATGCGATATCGGGACTCAGTATCTTATTGACATTGATGAGTATCCTCGTCGCGTTCGGGTAGGTCCTGTTGTTGTCTTTCAAACTTGTGACCCATATACTTACTTGCACACTCGTTGTGATAGCATAGCACTCATCGAAATAATGTCGCTGATCGGGAGTAACTGTAGGTCTTGCCAAAATGCAGCCAATGCCGAAGACGGTGGTGGGCTAGCTGGGAGGTGGTGGAGAGGGTGGAGCGTGGTACGTATATTAGTGACTGCCAAGTCCAACGCTCGTCTGATTCTGAATAACCCTTGTTTTCAGGCAAACGACAATATTGGGTATATCGGTGCAGCAATTGTTGGAGTATTTGTAGTTTCCGTTAGTTGTTGGTATGCTCTGGCGTGGATTATAAAGAAAGCCCATCCTCAAAAGAAAGTTGACTCGAAACTAGTCGATACTAAAGTCAGTGCTTGTTAGCCTTGTATATCTATTTCACGAATGATACCTTAACGCACTGTGGCTCACCCAATTACTATAGATATAGCCATCATTGCGTCCCCCTCCTCCTGTAACACTTCTTACATGTAGTAAATCCCGGATTTCTGGCCTTGTAGAATTTTGATTTTTTATCGTCATCCGTTCTTCGAGGTGGATGGGGACACTCGAGTACCTCTTCCCAAGTGATATAAAGATCATGAGTTCGACGAGTGCACGATTTGTGCTCTCTCTGGTGCTAAGGTAAATTACATTGTTCAAGTTCTCAGTCTTTGACAACAGGGCCCAGGCATGGGGCTCAAGGAGCGCTCATGTGACCTGTTTGGTGTCGCGCTTTATATAATTATAATCGTTCGGTTCCTCAAGCGACGTGCATCTAGGGGCTGGAAGATTATTCCCAAACCGCTGCAAGCTCTAGGTGGCGGTCATTGACCGAAGCTCTCCCGCCAGCGATGGGAAAAAATGGATAACGGAGCTCACATGATATTAAAATGTTTAGTTCGCCGTTCCGTGTCACACGCTAACTGTCTTTCCTGCTTCACTTCCTCCGCCAATTAGTGATGACCTCGTATTTCGACTCTTCGCGTTTTCTCTGGGAACACCCTCAGGCCAAGTTCACGAACGTTGAGAACTTTAGGCGCACCATCAACCGCAAGCACGGCTTGAACCTCAGTAAGTATGTTCGGTGCTTACATTTGTCATCAATTAATTATTTTGCAGAGGATTACCATGATCTCCACAAGTACTCTATCGAAGATTACACGTTCTGGAAAGATACATGGGAGTATCTCCGAATCAAATACTCTGTTCCTCCACAAGAGGTGCACATTGGCGTTCAATGCGAAAAATTGAACACATTTGAATTTTATTTTGTATTCAGATTATAGCTAAGGGCCCGATCCCTGAAGTCCCCGTCTGGTTCCCTGGCGCTCGCCTAAACTACGCGGAGAACTTGTTATGGAGGAATGATGATAGCATTGCTATAACGGCGAACAACGAGCTGGGGAACGTCGCTGATCACTCATTTCGAGAGTTGAGATTAAGAGTTCAGCGAATGGCATCCGCTATGCGGGCGAACGGTCTGCAGATTGGAGATCGGGTTGCGGGTAGGTTCTTGCAGTTTTATGCTTGCTTCTGAATTTCATTCATCTCGGTTATAGCGGTCGTTACGAACTCTGTAGATGCTGTCACTATTGCTCTGGCGACTGCAAGTATTGGAGGCATCTTTTCCAGTACTGCGACAGACATGGGCGTTCAAGTACGTTAATCAAAACTTCTACTATCGTTGAAGGTTACAATCTTTATTATCGACAGGGTATCCTGGACCGTTACCGTCAGATCCAGCCGAAACTCGTGTTTTTTGAGACGGAAGTCATGTACGCTGGCAAGGTCATGGATTTGCAAAGCAAGATTTCCGCGGTTGTCAAGGATCTTAATGACCGAGGTTTGCGATGCACCATTCTACTGCCCAGCGCAATTTCCGGGAATGAAATCGAGATGACTGGTGTTTCGAATACGTGAGTAGTGCCGTACTAATTTCATCATGATGTCGATGTTGATCCTTCCCAAGTGCAACTCTGAGCAAGTTCTTGGCCAGCGGAAACGGGAGCGAGCTCGTATTCGAGCAACTTCCTTTTAGCCAACCGCTGTACATTTTGTACAGCTCTGGAACTTCT